GAAAATTTGACAGGTATTTTCTTAGTTGGCTTGACTTAAACTAAAGAACTTTGTCGGTGCATAGTTCTGTATAGGATTTTTGGGGGTTAATTTTTGGTCCAGGGAATTTTGGGTTTTTGATTTTTGCACCCATTTGGTCATCCACGTCTGTTAAAATCCGTAATAACCCTTGGGAACGAAACTTGCTATGGTATAAAAAATAAAATGGCGAGTTATAATTGTGAGTACAAAAGATAAGAGTACAATACGGACTATCGTGTGCAACTTTTTTGTGTGTTCATCCGGGAGTCCGTCTTCGTCTCTTTGCTACAGATTAAAACGAAAAATACCACGGGGATAATTATTCCCCGGTTAGGCAAATGGTGTCACTTGTTAACTCATAAATGACGTTGATCATGACTATGGCTACAATCTCGCTCTGTTTTGAGTTCTTTCGGTGTCGTGTTGATGTCTTGCAGAGTTAATTTTCACGTAGTACGGTCAGCATTGCAGTATTCTGCTTGCAGAATTTAATATGTCTACTTTTCACTTTTCATTTTTGCTGATCAGGTCGTTATGGATCCTACGTTCTCCGGCATATTCGTTTGCGGTCCTTTGCAGTCCTTTATGGTTAATGTTTGTACTAGATCATGACATTGCTCACAGACTTGTGAAATAGGTGCAAATTTGGTCGTTCCGTTCCTCACTTTCTGATGTTAAAAATGCTAAAAATGTATTAAATTTGTAGCTCACACTAATAAACCATTATGAGGTGCGTGTGCATCTCTCGGGTTGGCGGGAAAATAGGAATCATACTTGGCGGGAGCTAAAGCAGGGCTATATGTAACGGTGAATCCACAAGATAAAGGAATTCGTCCACCACAAATGTTAGAAAAAGTTTAATCTAGACAAAAAGTAAAAAACACCTTCAGTAGAGATAATGTTTAACGACTTCCAGTCTTTATGTATGTTGAATGGTATCAAATGACGGTTTTTTCCTCTCTGTATCTTTTATTTCATTTCTCCTTAAATTTCTATGTTAAAGGCTAATTGGTGATACACTATTAACAGTTGTAAGAATCTTTACCTTTCAGTTTGTCATCATCAAAGTTCAGCTCTTGTACGGGACCAAGTGATGTAACATCACCCTCACTTGCTGCTCCGTTTCCACTCTGTGCCATAATGGTTTGATCTGGAAAAATCGGTATAAAGCTGTAAACTGACATTATCTTTACTTGTATATAAAGCACTAGTACCAAAACAGCCATTCATTTTGTCACAAGTGATAAACTCCACCACAAATTCTAGGAAAAGCCTAATCCAGATGAAAAGTTAAAAAACCACCTTCAGTAGAGATAATGTTTAACGACTTTGACTCTTTAACCACTTCCGTATGTTGAATGTTTTCAAATGACGGTTTTTTGTCTTTTCTGTATATTTTATTTTACTTGTGCTTAGTTTAGTATGTTAAAGGCCTTTTAGTGATACACTATTAACAGTTGTAAGAATCTTTACCTTTCAGTGTGTCATCATCAAAGTTCAGCTCTTGTCCGGTACCAAGTGATGTAACATCACCCTCACTTGCTGCTCCGTTTCCACTCTGTGCCATAATGGTTTGATCTGGAAAAATCGGTAAAAAGCTTTAAATTAATATTAACTTCACTTGTATAAGCACTGTTACCAAAACAACCATTCATTTTGCGACAAGTGGTAAACTCACATTAGTATAAAACTTTTATTGACTGAACAAATCAATCAAAATTCTGTGGCAGGCTGTCATGAAATGAGCGGTGAAGTAATTTTCAAACAACAGGACAGTAACGTAATCTGATTCAGTTTTCCGTTATGCTTTCATTCAAGACATGAAACTGCTTTCCAGAATTCAGTAGCTAAGTCGCTCAGAACACCCTAGTAACCAACCATTGCCAACTCACTTTCCGACAATCTCGGTGGCTGATTCAGTTTCAGATTTAGAGCGACGTTTTTTGCAGTTCTTTTTTGTTACCCTAGTCAATCGACTTAGTAGCAGCAGGGAGTTACAGTACCACTTCAGTAAGACGTGACAGAACCATATTTGGAAACAGAATCAGGAGTCAATTGCAGCAATAATCCTTATAAACATATTGTTTTTTTTTGGTGCTAGTGAAATTCGGTAAAGTTTACTTTTAGTTTTATAGAACGTAACGGGATAATCTTCATAATTTGCAACGGCTTTCGTCATTGGCAATACTTTGTTGATAAAAACTCAGGATAAAAACACTGTTAAGTATATAAATTCGGTTTGCTACTTAAAGATGTTTGGCTGCTATGACCACATCAACAACAAACTTTTTTTTTTTTACTACTTAAAAACTACAAAAACTTAAGATTGGATTAACACTAAAATAACTTTTCAAATAGTAATAATAATAATAATAATATAATAGTTATAATAATTATAATAATAAATGGTAAAATGTGAAGGTGCTGTGGTTGCACCATAGGATTTCAGCATCCGTTATTATAAATGCCTTGCTAATTATTTCTGTTGATGGGTTCAAACGCATAAAAAATTATCATGGGAATATTGTTTGGTAAACCTTTCTAAAACCGCAACTTGTCACACTATCAAAGCTGGTCTTTTGGCAGAAGTATACGCATGCGCAAAAAAAACCATTGAAGAGCGGCTAGGGGTATACGGAACACCGTAACACTGCAAAGAGAAATCGAGAAATTCGACACAACCATGCTAAAAATCCCCGAGCCAATCACAAAAACTTCGACATGTTTAGAAATACCACAATATCAGAATTCAAAGCCACAATTACACAAGTACCGCATGAAAATTTGCCAAACACTACAAAACCGCAAACTTTCTCAATGTAAGGTGCTAAAAATGTAAACCTCTACTATACTCTCCCCTCCCTGAGCCAAAACATTTGATTCCAAATACCCAACAATGGGTACGAGTACGTCGAGGCAACGCAAATACCCAAAGGGGATGGTCACGCTTCAAATTTACGGACCCATTTGGTTTATTGCACACCCTTTCACCAGCGTTGAGGGTTCTTCGTTTTCGAGTTGAGTGTATTTCGGTTTCCAAAAAAATACAGGGTACTTGTTTGTTTTTGCCATTCTTGATTCTTTCCTTTTTACTTGTAGGTCTCTCCGATTCAGCTTCGTAATCGACAATCTGTTTTGCGGTTATGAAGTACGCCATAAGCAAACTTTTGATTAAGAAATTTGGGGTGGAACGAAACTCCAGTTGAGGTAGTCCGGATTTCAAGTGACGGCGATGATAGAAGGACTTTTTGGGCTTAAAATTTTCAATTCTGGGATTCTTTTGGGGTAGGAAAAATGTGGCAAGTATTTTCTTAGTTGGCTTGATTTTAACTGAATAATTTTGTCGGTGCGTAGTTCTGTATAGGATTTTTTGGGGGTTAATTTTTGGTTCAGAGAACTTTTGCGGGTTTTGATTTTTGCCCCAATTAGTTCATCCACGTCTCTTAAAAATCCGGAATACTCCTTTCGGAACGAAACTTGCCATGGTGTAAAAAAAATAAAATAGTGAATTATAATTGTGAGTACAAAAGATAAGAGTACAATACGGTCTATCGTGTGCAACTTTTTAATATGTTCATTTCCGTCTTCGTCTCTTTGCTGCATATTAAAACAAAAAAAGTGATCATGACAGGGGTCATTTACTCACCGTTTAGGCAAATGGAGTCACTTGTTAACTCATAAATGGCGTTGACCATGACATTGGTCACAGAATAGTGGCAAATTTGGTCGTTAGTTATGCTCACTTTCTAGAGTTAAAAACGCCAAAAAAGCTAGAAAAGCATTAAATTTAATTTGTAGCGCTAGACGGAACTTACACTATTATTAAAGGCGTTATGCGGTAGTGTGCATCTTTCGGGTTGGCAGGAAAAAAGAAATCATACCTGCTGGGAGAAAATTCAGCATTCGTCGGCCACAAATTCTACAAAAAGCCTAATCTAGATAAAAAGTTGAAAAATCACCTTCGACTTTGACTCTTTAACCACTTTCGTATGTTGAATGTTTTTAAATGACGGATTTTTTTTCTTTTCTGTATCTTTTATTTCTTTTCCCCTTATTTTGCTATGTTAAAGTCTTGTTGGGGATACAGTATTACAAGTTGTAAGAATCTTTACCTTTCAGTGTGTCATCATCAATGTTCAGTTCTTGTCCGGTACCATGTGATGTAACATCACTCTCACATGCTGCTCCGTTTCCACTCTGTGCCATAATGGTTTGATCTGGAAAAATCAGTAAAAAGCTTTAAATTGATATTATCTTCACTTGTATAACCATTATTACCAAAACAACCATCCATTTTGCCACAAGTGGTAAACGCACATTTCATTGCAACAAATTCATTGAAATTATGTTGCAGGGCAGTCATGAAATTCGCGGTGAAGTCATTTTCATAGAACAGGACCGTACATGTACTCTAATTCAGTTTTCCATAGCGCTTTCAATCAAGACATGAAACTGCTTTTCAGAATTTCAGTGGCCCACTCGCTCACGTCACCCTTGTAACCGACCATTGCGAACTTCAGATTCAGAGGGATTTTTTTTTTTCAGTTATTTTCTTTGTTACGTAGTCAATCGACTTAGTAGCAGCATGGAGTTACATTGCGACTTCCGTAACACGTGACAGAACCATATTTGAAAACAGAATCAGGAGTCAATTGCAGCAATGTGCTATCATTAGAATGTCGCTTGTAAACATAATGGCTCATTTTCGTGCAAGTGAAACTCGGTTAAGTTTACTTGGAGATTCATAGAACCCATTAAGGGAGATGATAGTCATAATTTGCAACAGCTTTCGTTATTGATCAGTGATACTTTGTTGATAAAAGTTTGTGATAAAAACATTGTTAATTACATAAATCCCGTTTGCTACTTGAAGATATTTGGGGGCTATGACCACATTGACAACAGCACTTTTTTTCCCTAAAAAACTACCAAAACTTAAGATTGGATTAACACTGAAATAACCTTTCCAATTAATAATAATGATCATCATCATCAACATCATCCGTCATAATCATAATGTTAATAATTATAATAAATGGTACCATGTGAAGGTGCTGTGGTTGCACCATAGGATTTCGTCATCCATTAATATAAATGCAACCTTTCTAAACGTTTCTGTTGATGGGTACAACGAGGGTCTTCAACCGCATAACAAATTACCATGGGAATATTGTTTAGCACTAAAGTGAAACTCTTTATACTACCACAACTGGGCACGATATCACACTATCGAAGCCGGTCTTGTAGTAGAAGTATACGCATGCTAAAAAATTAAGATTGGAGCGGCTAGTGGTATACCGAACTCCGTAACACAGCGAAGAAAAATCGACAAATTCGACAACTTAAACCATGCTAAAATCGCCCAGCAAATAACAAAAAATTCCGCATGTTTAGAACTAACACAATATCATTGGGTTTATTGCAGGCCCTTTCACCGGGGTTGAGGGCGCTTCGTTTTCCAGTTGACTGTGTATTTCGGTTTTCAAAAAATAGAGGATACTTGGTTCTTTTCCCATTCGTGATTCTTTCCTTTTGACTTATAGGTCTCTCTGATTCTGCTTCGTATTCGACAATCTGTTTTGCGGTTATGAAGTACGTGATAAGCAAAACTTTCGAATAAGAAATTTAGGGTGGAACGAAACCCCAGTGGAGGTACTTCGGATTTCAAGTGATGGCGATGATAAAAGAATTTTTTGGGTTTAAAATTTTCAATTCCGGGATTCTTTTGGGATAGGAAACATTTGGCAAGTATTTTCTCAGTTGGCTTGATTTTAACTGAATAATATTGTTGGTGAGCAGCTCTGTATAGGATTTTGTGGGGGGATACGTTTTGGTGCAGTGAAGTTTGGGGGTTTTGATTTTTGCCCCCATTCGGTCATCCACGTCTCTTGAAATCCGGAATACCCCTTGGGAACGAAACTTGCTATGGTATAAAAAAATAAAATGGTGGATTATAATTGTGGGTACAAAAGGTCAGAGTACAATACAGACTATCGTGTGCAATTCTTTTGTGTGTTCATTTCAATCTTCGCCTCTTTGCTACAGATTAAAACCAAAAATACGACAGAGATCATTTATTCCTCCTTTAGACAAATGCTGTCACTTGCTAACTCATCCGATGGCGGTGATCATGACATTAGTTACAGACTTGTGCAATAGGGGCAAATTTGGTCGTTCCGTTCCTCACTTTCTGATGTTAAAAATACTAAAAATGCTGAAAATGCATTAAAATTGAACCTCACACTAATAAACCGTTATGCGGTGCGTGTGCATCTTACGGGTTGGCGGGAAAATAGGAATCATACTTGGCGGGAGCTAATGCAGGGCTATATGTAACGATAAATCAGCAATACAGTAAAGGAATTCGTCAATCACAAATTTTAGAAAAAGTTTATTTAATCCAGATAAAAAATAAAAACCACCTTCAGTGGAGATACTGTTTAACGACTTTCCGTCTTTAGGAATGTTGAATCTTATCAAATCACGGTTTTTTTCCTTTCTGTATCTTTTATTTCATTTCTCCTTAAATTTTTATGTTAAAGGCCTTTTGGTGATACTCTATTAACAGTTGTAAGAATCTTTACCTTTCAGTGTGTCATCATCAAAGTTCAGTTCTTGTCCGGTACTAAGTGATGTTACATCACCCTCACTTGCTGCTCCGTTTCCACTCTGTGCCATAATGGTTTGACCTGGAAAAATCAGTATAAAGCCATAAATTGACATTATCTTCACTTGTATATAAAGCACTAGTAACAAAACAGCCATTCATTTTGGTACAAGAGGTAAAATCGACCACAACTGATTCTAGGAAAAGCCTAATCTAGATAAAAAATGAAAAAACCACCTTCAGTAGAGATACTGTTTAACGACTTTGCCTTTTTAACCACTTCCGTATGTTGAATGTTTTCAAATGACGATTTTTTGTCAGTTTTGTATATTTTATTTTTTTGTCGTTAGTTCGCTATATTAAGGTCTTTGGTGATACACTATTAGCAGTTGTAAGAATCTTTACCTTTCACCGTGTTATCATCAAAATTCAGCCCTTGTCCGGTACCAAGTGATGTAACATCACTGTCACTTGCTGCTCCGCTTCCACTCTGTACCATAATGGTTTGATCTGGAAAATCAGTATAAAGATATAAATTGACATTATCTTCACTTGTATATAAAGCACCAGTACCAAAACATCCATTCACTATGCCACAAATGATAAACTCGACCACAAATTCTACTTAAAGCCTAATCTAGATAAAAAATGAAAAAACACCTTCAGTAGAGATACTGTTTAACGACTTTGCCTCTTTAACCACTTCCATTTGTGGAATAATTTCAAATGACGTATTTTTGCCTTTTTTTGTATATTTTGTGTCATCTGTCCTTAGTTTGCTACATTAATGGCCTTTTGGTGATACACTATTAACAGTTGTAAGAAACTTTACCTTTCAGTGTGTCATCATCAAAATTCAGCTCTTGTCCGGTACCAAGTGATGTAACTTCACTCTCACATGCTGCTCCGTTTCCAACCTGTGCCATAATGGTTTGATCTGGAAAAATCGGCAAAAAGCTTTAAATTAATATTAACTACTATTAATTAGTCTTAACTAATATTAGAAAAAAAATAAAAATAACCTTCAGTGGAGATAATGTTTAACTACTTTCAGTCTTCATGTATCAAATGTTGAATGTTATCAAATGACGGCTTTTTCCTTTCTGTATCTTTTATTTCATTTCTCCTTAAATTTCTCATGTTAAAGGCCTTTTGGTGATACACTATTAACAGTTGTAAGAAACTTTACCTTTCAGTGTGTCATCATCAAAGTTCAGCCTTTTTCCGGTACCATGTGATGTAACATCACTGTCACTTGCTGCTCCGCTTCCACTCTGTACCATAATGGTTTGATCTGGAAAATCAGTATAAAGGTATAAATTGACATTATCTTCACTCGTATATAAAGCATCAGTACCATAACATCCATACATTATGCCACAAGTGATAAACTCGACCACAAATTCTACGAAAAGCCTAATGTAGATAAAAAATTTAAAAAAAACACCTTCAGTAGAGATACTGTCGACTTTGACTCTTTAACCACTTCCGTTTGTGGAATAATTTCAAATGACGTATTTTTGCCTTTTTTTGTATATTTTATGTCATCTGTCCTTCGTTTGTAATCTTTAAGGCTTTCTGGTGATACGGTATTAACAGTTGTAAGAATCTTTACCTTTTAGTGTGTCATCGTCAAAGTTCAGCTCTTGTCCGGTACCATGTGATGTAACATCACTCTCACTTACTGCTCCGTTTCCACTCTGTGCCATAATAGTTTGATCTGGAAAAATCAGTATAAAGCTGTAAATTGACATTATCTTCACTTGTATATAGAGCACCAGTACCAAAACATCCATTCACTATGCCACAAATGATAAACTCGACCACAAATTCTACTTAAAGCCTAATCTAGATAAAAAATGAAAAAACACCTTCAGTAGAGATACTGTTTAACGACTTTGCCTCTTTAACCACTTCCATTTGTGGAATAATTTCAAATGACGTATTTTTGCCTTTTTTTGTATATTTTGTGTCATCTGTCCTTAGTTTGCTACATTAATGGCCTTTTGGTGATACACTATTAACAGTTGTAAGAAACTTTACCTTTCAGTGTGTCATCATCAAAATTCAGCTCTTGTCCGGTACCAAGTGATGTAACTTCACTCTCACATGCTGCTCCGTTTCCACTCTGTGCCATAATGGTTTGATCTGGAAAATCAGTATAAAGCTATAAATTGACATTATCCTCACTCGTATATAAAGCACCAGTACCAAAACAGCCATTCATTATGCCACAAGTAATAAACTCGACCACAAATTCTACGAAAAGCCTAATCTAGATAAAAAATGAAAAAAACACCTTCAGGAGAGATACTTTTTAACGACTTTGCCTCTTTATCCACTTCCATTTGTTGAATAATTTCAAATGACGGTTTTTTGCCTTTTTTGAATATTCTATTTCATCTGTCCTTAGTTTATAATCTTTAAGGCTTTCTGGTGATACAGTATTAACAGTTGTAAGAATCTTTACCTTTCAGTGTGTCATCATCAAAGTTCAGCTCTTGTCCGGTACCAAGTGATGTAACATCACTCTCACATGCTGCTCCGTTTCCACTATGTGCCATAATGGTTTGATCTGGAAAAATCGGTAAAAAGCTTTAAATTAATATTAACTTAACTTCACTTGTATTTGCACTGTTACCAAAACAGCCATTCATTTTGCCAAGTGGTAAACTCAAATTAGTATAAAACTTTTATTGACTGAACAAATCAATCAAAATTATGTGGCAGGCAGTTAAGAAGTGCGTGAAGTAATTTTCAAACAACAGGACACGTAATCTGATTCAGTCTTTTGTTGAGCTTTCAATTAAGGCATGAAACTGCTTTCCAGAATTCAGTAGCCCAGTCGCTCAGGCCACCCTAGTAACCAACTATTGCGAACTCACTTTTCGACAACGTCGGTAGCTGATTCAGTTTCAGATTCAGAGCGACGATTTTTGCAGTCATTTTTTGTTACCCCAGTTAAACGACTTAGTAGCAGCAGGGGGTTACAGTACCAGGAGTCAATTGCAGCAGTAATCCTTATAAACATATTGTTTCTTTTTGGCGCAAGTGAAATTCGGTAAAGTTTACTTTTAGCTTTAAAGAACTTAATGGGATAATCGTCATAATTTGGAACAGGTTTCGTTATTGGCAATACTTTGTTGATGAAAATTCGTGATAAAAACACTGTTAAGTATTTAAATTCGGTTTGCTACTTAAAGATGTTTGGCTGCTATGACCACATCAACAACAACACTTTTCTTACTTTGAAAATTACAGAAACTTAAGATTGGATTAACACTTAAATAAACTTTTCAAATAGTAATAATAATAATAATAATAATATGATAGTTATAATAATTATAATAATAAACGGTACAATGTGAAGGTGCTGTGGCTGAGCTATAGGATTTCAGCATCCTTTATTATAAATGCCTTGCTAATTATTTCTGTTGATGGGTTTAACCGCATAACACATTATCATGGGAATATTGTTTGGCACTAAAAGTGTACACTTTTCTAAAACCGCAACTGGTCACGGTATCACACTATGAAAGCCGGTCTTGTAGCAGAAGTATACGCATGCGCAAAAAAAAGTTGAAGAGCGGCTAGGGGTATACCGAACACCGTAACACTGCAATGAAAAATCGAAAAATTGGACACAACCATGCTAAAAATCGCCGAGCCAATAACAAAAAATTCCGCATGTTTAGATATACCAAAATATCAGAATTCAAGACCACAATTACAGAAGTACCGCATGAAAATTTGGCAAACACAATAATGCCGCAAACTTTCTCAATGTAAGGTGATAAAATGTAACACTCTACTATAGTCTCCCCTCCCCTAGACAGACGTTTGATTCCAAATGCCTTACGGTGCAGTAGGCAAAAGAGCCTAGAGGCAACGCAAATGCCTAAAGGGGATGGTCACACTTCAAATTTACTGACCCATTTTAGTTCATTGCAGGCCCTTTCACCGGAGTTGAGGGTTCTTCGTTTTCGAGTTGAGTGTATTTCGGTTTCCAAAAAATACAGGATACTTGGTTCTTTTCCCATTCGTGGTTGTTTCCGTTTTACTTGTAGGTCTCTCCAATTAAGCTTCGTATTCGACAATCTGTTTTGCTGTTATGAAGTACGTCATAAGCAAAACTCTCGATTTTCGAAATTGGGGTGGATCAAAACCCGAGTAGTACTCTGGATTTCAAGTGACGGGTTTGATCGAAGGATTTCTTGGGTTTGAAATTTTCGATTTTGGGATTTTCTTGGGGTAGCTAAGGAAAATTTGGCAAAAATTTTGTCGGATGGCTTGATTTAACTGAAAATTGTTATTCGTGGTTTGCCTGCTTATTCCGGCCGCGTAGTTGTGTATGGGAATTTTTTTTTTTTTTTTTGGGGGGGGATAATTTTTGGTCCAGGGATTTTTTTGGGCTTTTGATTTTTGCTCCCATTCGAACATCCACGTCACTTTAAACCGGGAATACCCCCTGAAACTTGCTGTGGTAAGAGCTTTGTTCGCACTTCTGATAAATAAAATAAGAACTACCGTGATAAAAAAAATCCAAAAAATTAATTGAATGTTTTGAATGGCAAGAAAATTGAATTGCGAGGATTAAGAGAAGGTCTTTTTGCTGAACTGATTCAGTTTTCGAGAAGGAAAACCATTTGAATTAAGAAGCTTGTCTTTAGTGCACCCGGCTAATTAAGGACGAGTTTTAAAATTTGTGCTAAAGGACCACAAGTCAAGGATGGAAAGTCTGTCTTAGATGGAATGACCGTCTTAAATAAATCCGCATGGGCTCGTTCTCTCTCTCTCTGTTTTTTTTTTTGCTAAGGGGAAAACACGAACTACATCAGACAATTGCTTCTGGTAGAGAAAAAATTGTGCTGAAGATATTGCGACTTAGAAATACGAAGATAATGAAGAAGGTTTTTCAAAAACAGCTCAATTAATTGTTAATTAAAATACCTTACGTTAGTTTCTGACCCTATCAATGCACTCACGGGAATCGCAAAAAAGCGATAAAAAAAAAACAGGAAACTTTTCGAGATCACTAATTATAGTGTGGCTTGTTTAGAAAGTGCACAAATAACATGCATTGAACAATATTATATGCTTGTTACAGGTAAGAAAACCTTTCACTAAATAAACGATGTAATTGATCAGATTTAGCCTACCTGTATTTTCACGGAGGAAGAACTTCTCTGTTTCGCTTCACTGTAGCTGTTTCACTCAGTCGTATCTTGATATGATGATATGAAAGGGGCGTCAACTGATTATAAAGACTTTGGCAAATCATGTGATCAAAAGGACACGACGCAATAGGTTAACAAAAGAATATGACGCAAGAATATTTTATTTAAAGAAAATGTGTTTGATGACATCCGATCGAAAATAAAACTGTTACTTGGCAACTTATAAACTGTTACACACATATACAATATTTCGCTTTACAATATTTCTCTTTCATGCATTCTCTCTCTTTCGTAGTTAAATCTGTAATATTTTCTAAAGCAAAACCCCTGGAGTCAACCAGAAATAGTATTCCATGCCATCTCAGTGTGACAATAAGAAGAAGGAAGCCATACACTATACCAGTTCAGAAAAAGTGCAAATCCCAGTTTTCTTGTGAAAATGAGTTTTATTTACATGAGAATAAAAAAAATTTTCATATCAATGACTTTGCACTTAGCCTCGCTTTGAAACAGAGGCTGAGGCCGGCTCGGTAGTAGACTATTGGTGAGGACTCATTTGTCTCTTACATTGTTTTGCTCATAGTAACCTACGCGTTGTTTTTTGCTCATATCTACTTAGATCAAAAGACTCACAAAAATCATTTTGACTCTAAAAAGTCAAGAATATCTCAAACTGAAGCATTTGAACTGCAATCGGTGACAAAATTGTTGAGCAGTGTACCCGTGGGTAACTTCAGAGAACTATTCTCTCTTGAGAGAACAAAACAAGTCACACCCATCACCTCTTTCTTTCATTCAAAGTTGGGATATTTGTTGTTTTCTACAGGTACCTTGTGGTAAATTTCGTGCCACAAGGCAACTCGAACAGCCGCACAACATTGCATGGGGGAGATGAGAGAAGAAAAGCTTTATTTTGTCCTTTTAGCCGTCAGTAAAACGGCAGAAAGGTCTTTTAGGGAAAAGTGTCTCATCTAATTTTGTCGCTGATTGTGGTTTCTTCCTTGCGGTCCAAACGCTAAGAAGCTAAACAGTCAAGAGAAGGAAATGGCTTTTAAAGACTTTCTTTAAAAATATTTTAACTTTTTTCTCGGTAGCTATTTATCTATCTTACTCTTTAGAGTAACCTGATATGATGTAAGGCCGTGTTTCATTTTCTAATGAAACTACCTCTTATTTATTTAGACCGTACTGGCACTTAATTATGTGGTTCTTTAGCGCTTTGCGCGACTGTAAAAAAAGAACTTTCGAAATTAAAGATTCCGCAAATAAACATTCTCGCGAAATTTTATACCCATATAATCCACATAGAAAATTCAAATCACGGAAGAAAATAAAAAAACATGTATTAATAAAAACTCAGTATACACGACATGATCATCAATCGATATATATATATGAGAGTTTCCCCAGCTCCAGGGCATGAAATTTAGTTGTATGAATACACGAAGCTCTTACTTCGAATCCGACGCCCGGTCGCTAAGCGCTTGTTGCTCGTCTTATTATTTGGGCGTCGCCCAAATAGAGTAGTTGCAATAGGCACGCAATGCGTGCGAACGTAAACAAGCCAAGCGACGCGAATGTCTGCCACGTGATGTGTCACGATACAGCATTCATCCTCGTTACAATATGTCCCAGAGCTAACGCACGGCAAACACCGACGTGAAACAGACTATTAACTTCTTAAGCACATCGCTCGTTAATAATGCAATGTTTCAAAGGATTAAATGAATTTCCCTATGCAAATAAATTCGCAATAGATATCAGTATCGGCGTTATTTATTGTTTTTAAGTATACCGAAAAAATCATATTTTTTATGTGGAACTCAACGGATCACCGCGTGACTTTCCACGAGTTTTGCTAATTTACTTTATTAGAATGACAATCAACTAGTAATAACCAAAGGGTACTGAGTGTGGGCGACAACGATCGAAAGTCAAAACTGACTCATCTCCATTCTTCTCAATTACGTGAATGAAGCAGTCTCGCAAGATGAATAAGTTGAGAATGTGTGAGCGCTGTTTTCAGCTCTTGGCTCAAGCAAAGGGGTCATATAAACGCACGCTCAAGTTGACTTGGCTGGGAGGCCAGGCAGTGACCCTATTTCCCGGGACAACTTTTCTCCATAGAAACGGAAGAGGATAAAGTTAATTAGTAAAATCCAACTAGTGGTCTATTATCAATGCTGCGTTCTGATTGGTTGAGCTACCACTAGACTATATGTTATAGCCCACTAGTAGCGAAAAGCGCCGACTTTTTGGCGGCAAAAAAGGATTCAAGTTTAGCTTTAACTAGGTAAAGTTGGTTTGTCTCGATATTTTTGACCAACTACAGTAAAACCTCTATTAAGCGGACCCCAATCAAGCGGACACCCTCTATTAAGCGGACACTAAGCTTGTTGCGAAGGTTTCCTGAGCGATCTGTCTGGTGCTCTTAGAGATGCGAAAGGGGCAAGATGTTGCGGCGTGAAAGGCTACTTTCCTGATTTACAAACTTGCTGCCTTGGTAAGGAACTAAGCCATCGATATTTTTCAATAGGGTTGGATAACGAGCTCAGAATCCCGGAATCCTTAAAAATTCATAGTGTTCGTGTCGACGATTATTTTCAGTGTTATACCTGATTCTACTATGTTTCGCTCAAAATTTAATCCCTGATTCCCAAAACGTTGAGAATTTGTCTCTCTGATCCCGCAAACGCTTTCCAATTCCTAGAGATTTCCTAAACCCTTAATTCAACTGCCAAAATGGATCGAAATGTAAAGCTTCTCCTCACAGTATTAATACATCGTTGAGCAAACAGATGGAGGAAATTTCGTACTTTAACAAAGTGAGGATTTTGAGTTGATCTGTTGTCCAATTTTTTTGACTGCATTTTACGAAAATGCTTGAGACTCACTATGAGACTTACTACTTAGAACTGGAGAAAGGTTAAAAAATTTATCTGCTCGTACCGCAGGGTTTGGGAACCTAGGGGTTCACAAACCGACAGCTGGGATACCACATTGCATTTCAGGCCTTTGAACACTGATAGCGTAAACCTTCTTACTTATCTGGTTTTTTGTTTTCCTAAGGTAAGGTCCACTATCTTCCTGGACAAGACTCGGATGCTGATGACAGTACGGTCCAATGCTGCGGCGATAAACCCTTCTTGACGACGCAGGCCGTCTGTTGCAATGATGTTGTCACGTCGTTGCTGTCTGTTAAAAAGGCTGATATGCGACACTGCTGTGGTAATCAAGGCTTCAACGCCGGAGAGAGTTTCTGTTTGACATGCGGAAAAACAAAGACAGTCGTTCCACTTTCAGAAAAGGCCTTGTGGAGTTGCTGTCAAAACAAGAAGGTCTACAAACTTGATGATTCAAAGTGTTGTGATTACGGCGTAGAGAAAGGAGATCAGTGTAAGTACAAGCCAGGGGCACCCAACGACAATTTTTGGAAAATATCTGTTCGGAAGACGATTTGACATCTAGAATTTTCGGAACATTTGTTGTTAAATTTCTTGCTTGCCTGCCTCTCCTAGGATTTTCGAACCCCCCAAAAATGGTATAAATGCACATTTTTAACGGATTTTTACCCTAAAAAGGTCACCTAGAATTTTCGGGAGCATTTTTTCTGGCTGAAATTTTCGAAAAGGTAAGTTTTGATCCCTATAATTTTCGGATCACTAGACTTTCAGCTAGGAAATCCGAACAGATGAAAAAGTTTTAGGGGATAAAAATGTACCTATACTACCGTTTAAATACTAAAATACGTTCGACAATGCTATGTTTAAGTGGTTTTGAACTATATTCTCGTTGGGTGCCCCTGACAAACATTATAATCCAAAAACCCTTGTTTTTCTTCGTAATTTTCGATCGACGTAACAACAAGGCTTCAACATCTATTTATAAAATATATGCAGCTCTAGTTAAAAACGTGATAAATTATTCTCTGGTAAGCCTGTTCGTGGCGTTCACTCAAGTACACTACGTTCCTGCGAACAGGGCAAGGGCATCCTTGCGTCTTTTGTTAGTGGCAGAACTACTCTTGTAAGAAACTGTCATATATTATTTTCTGGGAAGCTTGTTCATCGCGCTTCCTCAAGTACACTACGTTCCTGCCAACAAGCTAAGGGCACCGTTGTGCCTCTTATCAGAGGCAACGAATTAGAACAGTTGTGTTTTACCGTACACATACACCACTATCACAGAATATAAGGGAGGATACAAAGCGATGCATAAGTTAAACAAATAATGCTTCAAAATGGAAGTTACACTTAGATATTTACACACACTCATGACTCATAAAGGGAAGGTAGTCAAAAAGAGTTCAAAACGTTTCGCTTGTTGATGGCTTGTCATGATCATGAGACGCTCAAATGAAGTATTCTTCATATATTCACATGAAAGGTTATTTACTCCCTGACGCGCTCACTATAAAACCTGTAACTTTTTTTAAGCAAAAAAAGACTTTTCAGTTTTAATACAGGGTATCCATAAGTAGGGTTATTGTGTCATTTTAAAGGATCCCTTTAAAATGCTTGAAAAAGTACTTTAGACCTTATCAGTACCAGCTATCTGCTCCTGGAAGCATTGTTTTAGAATTTAATCTTCCCTTGTAGGTAAGTGCGTATTTCATAACAACACTTTCCTGTCTGGAGAGCGTTTTGGAGACCCAACAGATCCCCCATCGACACCCTGCCGCAACTGTGTATGTCAAGATGGCACCACCATTTGCGACACAGTTCCGCAATGCCCAGGCCTACTGCCACATGGCTGCACCTTCTACCCGGCTAATGGAGAATGCTGCCCCATTTTCGAATGTTTTGACAAGCAATGTAAGTAAGGAACATTAAAGAAATTGCAAAGTAATAACAGCAGTGTATTTCCCCTTTATATTTGGGAAGGGATGTTGCGGTTGGGCTTGCTCTTTGGCAGAAAGTGGACGCCATTTATAGTCAGGTTGGAAACACTATACTGTAACACTCCGAAGCTCTGTTTTTCAAATACAAAAATAAGCCCAACCGGATTTCTCGGAGCCTTATCTGGTCCAAGTCTATTTTTTCTAGTGCTGTTGTTTCATTTGGCCTATGGCTCTCTTAAGTTTGTCCACATGTGTATTGCTCGAGCTTCGAATGAGGAAATTCTCTTTTGTGCACTTTGATTTTGTTTGTTTTGTTTGTACTGCTCAGGTGACAATAATCACAAGCTTTTCATGAGGAGAAAGTCTCACGTTTCTGCCAACACAGTTTTTCCAGAACTGGACGTACTAACTATTTCGGTTTGGATGAGAACGGAGCAAACCAGTGCGGCCACCTTACTTTCGTATGCTACTGACATCCGAGCCAACGAGCTGGTGATCAGATCGCATCCTAATTTCAGGCTGACGTTCAAGGATTCTACCAGTGACGAGTTCAGTAAAACCCTAAATGACGGTCGTTGGCATTTTGTATGTATTCAGTGGGAATCATCGACTGGACAATGGTCTCTTTTCATAGATAATCCGAGTGAAGCGTCAGAAACGTTCTCCCTCGGCCAGGGCAATACTCTTCAAAAAGAAGGCTACCTTGTTCTTGGCAGACAACAGGAGCCGAAAACAAATCTAATCGATGCAGAAGCGTTTGTAGGAGAGATTGCGTACTTCAATGTATGGACCTCGAAGATCACTAACATCAACGATGTGAAGACGAATTGTGATGGCTTTCATGGAGGGGATTTGGTTCATTGGTCCGTTGGGTCAACCGCTCCTGAGACCATTGATGCTCACCAAAGTGCATCCATTATAAAAGCGGATGTCACGGGAATGTGTACAAGTTTGTGCTATGTTAATTTGCAATATATTTAATAATAAAACCTTTATCCAAGACTGAATCTATAAAACTATTTGAATCGTTTCTTAGTGGAAACAAAATCACACTAACTTAAATATAAATCAGCTTAAATATGTAATTAATTGAATAAATGTATAACTTAATAAATAAATTAATTAAATAAAAAAAGTGGTAGATCGTGTTTCAACTTCAAAAAACCGGGCTTCGTTATTTGTTTTGACACCACATTGGACGCACCGAGTGGGTGTGGAAACGAGGAGTACAAACGTAAGGGGGGACCGCGAGAGAGACGTAAATAGAGGTGGCTGGTTAACAGAGCCGGCGGCTTAACAGGGGCTGCACTAACAGCATTATTCAGACAGTATATACAGGACTTTCACAAAGTCCCGAAAATAAAGATTAAGGAGCTTAAAACGGTCACAATTTATCTTGTATTGTTTCGCAGGTCAAAATGCTGAGAACGCTGACGTCATTACACCAGGGAAAGAAGAGTTTATATGGGAGGCAGATGGACCTGAACTTGAATCCCTATCCGGGGAAACCTGTGCTCAAAGCGCTGTGTTTCGTATACAAAGCACATATCATGCTTTCCGCCTTAAAGTTTGCCCATCCTCAACTGCTGGCTCCCTTGGAAACCTCCACGTCTACGTTGTGAAGAGAAGCAGCGACAGTAAACTACACTGGCCTTTTCAGAATTCTCTCAGGTTATCTGTGATAGTAAGGAAAGGAAATACAAAGATACATCGCCGTATTAAATACGACTCAGTTGAATGGAGGAAGTCAAAGAAGTGGTCTCTGGTGACTGGTTCTTGTCCTTCTAAAGACGCTATTAGCGACGTTTCAGAACCGCAGTTAAATCCTGAGAGTTGGGAGTGGACAGATTTCATCACCCGGGCAGACGCCACAAATAACTATGAAGATGGAAAGCTCCGAATCAAAGCTATTGTATACACAAAGGAGGAAAGTAAGTATATACAGGAAATTTCCACCTTGCTAGTGCGTCATTCATGGCGGAACACTCTTAAGCCTGTTAATTTTAATGTGAGATCCTTGCCACTGAGTTGACACAGGCTACAAGTTTAAAAATTAGCACCGTGTCTCTGTTTTTTCCCTGCGTCAGAAAATGGACATGTTGCGCAATTCGAAATTTCCCACCAGTACCTGCTCGGTATTGCTCTTTTCCTCATAGTTGGGCTTGCAAATGCATGACTGCTGTTTAGGGGTACCAGAAAGGTTGTCCAAATCGGTATATTTAATTTACCATATTTGACTTACCTACCACACCTCAAGAGAAGTTCAAATTTGCCGTAAGCACCATTAGACTTAAAATACCCTGCGAATGATATCCGGTTGTCTAATGGTGGTAAGAATAAAAGAAAAAAATTGTCAAGATTTTGCCTCTAGGAGTCCGTGGTCACACAAACTAAGTGAGAATGTCATGGTGTGATTTAACTGATAAATCGAGTCAACTCTTTGCTGGTAAGAAACCGTCCTTAAGTAAGGTAAACGAATGGAAAAAGGCTGTAATTTCCAATAATTTATCGATCTGTGCTTTGTAACAAATTTTACTGAATATTACTGGGGATTTTGCTCGGTTAATAAATTCTTCATAATATCGTTTTGTGATTATCGGCTGATTATTCTGTGGTGATAAAACATTGCTCTTCATTTCACTAGCCCTCAAGGACTGCCTGGAATGCTAAGTAGCAGAAAAAAATGATAATAGGAAACAATAAAGGATTCAAGATAAGAGGTTTTGGTTGATCGGTGATGGCCATTGCGATGAAATGACTTTTGCAATTCAACGCTATTTAAGGTGTAGTGTGAATTATTTGGCTCCTCTCCTCTTAAAAACAACTATATGTTCGGGACAGAAAGCGTCTTTTGAGTAAAAACTAAGTCATCAAATCATTTTCCTAGCCATGAAACTTGGAGCTGCTACTCATAGAGATTTAGTTATATAGAAGGACTTTCCGGGGCCGCTAAACTAGTTGTAGTGTTCTTGAAACACCTCCTCCAGCACACCATAACTTTGTAAAATACCATCGAAAATTACAACCTCGCCAGAGTCGAAGTTGTCTTGATTTTATACGTACCCTTAGTTTCAAGTTTCGAGGTTCAAGTTTCAAGTTTATTAAGTCTTCCAAAAGATTATTTACAATGAACACCGCCTGCAAATAGCGAGCTAATCTAGGCAGGCGGTGTTAAGGACATACAAACACGAATTACTGATTAAAGGCGTTAAAAAAAAGTCAATTTTGAATACATTATTTGTCAAAAGAGGAAAAAAGTGATAAAAAGTGAAGAAAAATATTATAATTTATGATTGAATCATAATTAAGATGCCTTTTTTATTTCAGAAATAAGAGTGCTAGTGTCAGCATAACTGTCCAGAATTTCTAAAGTTACAAATAGTAATTTTTGAATTTTTTTTTTTGAATATGTGCTTTGGTAGTTAGTTAATCTAACCTGCGTAGCAAGCGCTTAACAACGATCCATTGCTGTCTACATTTTGTGTATCTCAGGTGGCTGGGTCTATTGGAATGGTCATTATTACAGTCAACGTAAACGAGATCAACTTAAGGAATCAACTTGGTACGGAGCGGAAGGCGATTGTATATCGCACGGTACCAGGGTTCATTTGGCGTCCATCCATAACCAATTGGAAAACGACTTTGTGAGCTCACGCGCTTCTGGTGATCAGTGGATGGGATTAACCGATAACAATAGCCAAGAAAAGTCCTTCAACTGGATAGATGGCTCAGCTTTTGGAGGATTTACTAATTGGGATACGAATGAACCCAACCAAGCAACGGAGCATGGAGATTGTGGGGTACTCAAGGCCAATGGAAAATGGGCCGACGAACCGTGTGAAGTACAAGATACCGCCAATGAGGGGACAGTTAGGGACGGTGCTGAAGTAGCAGCCCCAGAAAGAGAGTACACTTGCAAGACTTCAGGTAAGAGAATCCACCTTTGATACATTTATTTTACATGGGTTTCTTGGGATGGAACAAGTGGAAGAAAGTTGTGAAATATAACTGAATGCGGTTGAGGCTGGAACGAATGTGAAGGCTCCTATTTTTGAGCCTGAAATGCCCTTTAAGTATGTTCTTACGTTACGCGTTATACAAGGAATTATTATGGATGTTCTTATTTTCTATGATATGAACATGACCAGGAAAAATGGAAGCTTACAACTCTTAAATGTATTGATTAATTTAGTTTAGTTTTCTTTTCTCTAATGTTGTTGTTTTTTCCCGGGTATTCCTCAAATTTAAATTGTTACTAGGCGATTTTAGCTAGATTGAAATAAATAAAAATGCGTTGTCTTTGTCTCTCAGGCTGGTACGTTTGAAGCATGTTTTTAACTTTTGGGTTTATTTTTAGCCTCACCGTTCATAAAACGAGAGTAATTAGTGATGATCATTTATTACTATTGTGGATTACTGCTTGAAAAGCAAAGTCGGTATTTGGTTTTACATGCACAGTAAATGAAAATTTGCAAACAGCTTGAGTAATACATAATTCCTTTTATCAATATCTCACTATAAATTGATGTTTTCGTACTCAAAACACTTAGGATGTAGAAAAGAATGTAGAATGGAATTACCAGTCGGAATCTCGACATTAAAAAGGAGAACCTATAATGTCGACAATGATAGACAGTGCTTTTGTATAGCGCACTTTTCCATGTGGATGTGTTCAAAGGCGCTTTACATCTACGATATGATTACAACGAATGAGTAAGCCTAGGGTGGTCACACCAGGGTTCGTTACGTTCTCAGTGGTTCTTTTAGAATGGAGAAGAGAACCGCTATTTTCAGGTGGTTATCCGAGCTTTATGAAGGTTTAACCAGTTGTAGATGTATTATAACAACAGAAGCACCTTCTCCGGCCTTGGGTTGAGCCCAAGACCTCCCGCATTGTATTCCAGTACCGTAGCCACTTAGAAAACGGGTCGCGGACGATGAAAAAGTAAAATGTCGGAAACTCGATATAGAAAAAGTAAATTCTTGGAATCTGGCTGATGAAATAGTAGAGGCCTGTAAACGTTATGTTGAAAACTTAGATTCTTGATATATAGAAAAACTAAATTCTCGGAATCTCGCTGTTGAAATAGTAGAGGCCTGGAACCTCTACGTTGAAAACTTACATTCTCGGAATATTAAATTTAAGAAACGTATTAAAACGTATTAGAATCGTCTCAATAAGATACATCAGCCGCAGAAGTTAAGAAACGGAATAAGCAGCTCTGTTTTAACTGGGAAAAATATAAGCTGGGATGGAATTGAAAAAGAAAAAACATTTTGTTTCATCTCCTTTCTATGTTAATGCTTTTTGCATGGCGTACTTTTCCATGTGGATTATACCTCAGCAGTAAAACGTATCTTTTTGCTGTTTTTAAGGGAGATATGTCGACTTCCAAACTCCACCAATCTTGGAGAAAAAGGTATGATATGTAATCTATTCGAGTTTGTAATTCCTGGCCTAGTGTAATCTGTGTTCCAGAGACTTTTTATACTCGTTTAGAGTATTAATAAAAGGGTCATCGTATCCGTTTATACAGAAACACACACCTTTCTTAACGATTAAAAACGTTTTGGTTTGACAAGCGAAAGATAAAAATTACGGCCCATGATGCCGTGCCCTTGAGTAGCAGTATCTTAACAGACTTGCTTCTGGTACTTCATAACTTAAGAATGGATTGGTGGTATTGCCTTGGACATGTGCTAGTTATTTCATTGATTGGAGCCACGTTTGTTTTTACAGGTTCTACCTGAAAACGAAGCCGGCATCTTTTCAGTTGATGTCTCCCGCAGTGGCCAAAATGCCAAAATAACCTTTTTCACCGGTCTTCATCAAACGGTGCCAAATATGAAGTTTACAACTGTAGCTGATAAAGTGAGGCACGGAGCAAGCTTTGAGTTTGGAACGTACGTTCAGATGTCTCCAGAACAGTTAGGCGACCTGTACGAAGAGCCACCGAGTGGTGACAGCTCACCCGCTTCACCTAAAAGTGATAAAAGTGGAGCAGCCGATCTCGATGGAGTAGTGGACAAGATCACTATAGATCATTACACTGATATGGACACAGTCGGTAATCCGGCGTTCTCAATCGAGTTTTGGGTGCGACCACGTAGGATGCCTCCCAAAGATCAATGGATGGCACTCTTTTCAAAATCGTCCAGTTCCTCCGGCTACATTAATTTAAACCTCAAGTCTGACGGTCAGTTACAGTTTACAGTAGCCCCAACTGGTCAGGTGAATCCTTTGAGATTTGTTACAAGAATAAGTGGTGACAATTGTGAGAACTGCGAGAACTGCAAAATCAAATCCATGGAGTTTCAACATATCGCAGTAACAGGAAGAGCTGGGAGTACATTAAAAGTTTATGTGGGAGGAGACGTTTGTTTTTCCACGAATGCAGCAAGTGAGTGGGAAGGTGTCACTGGTTTACCTGCTTCAAGCGAAGGAACTTTGATTTTTGGTTCCCATACAAATCCACAAGATTCTAGCACGCCGGTTAAGTTCAACGGGCAACTTGCTTATATCCGTATCTTTGACAACGAGAGGACAGAGAAGGAAATAGAAAGCAATATGAATGATCCATCCTCGGAAAGCGGCGCTCCTGTAGGCTCCTGGCACCTCAGACTATCTCAAGAGATCAAGTTGATTTACTATGTCATATCAGACTCAACCCAAGTTTCCAGCCTTAAAGTGTTACAAGACTTCACCCCGGCTTCCTCCAGTTTTCCAGTTGTGGCATATGAACGAAATGAAAAGATTTATTTGTTTCGCTTATCAGCTGAGAATGATGTCGTCGTAAATGTGTATCAGCTGAGTCAAGATCGAAGTAGTCTACAAGTTGCCACTCAGGGACACACAACTGTAAACACCGACTCAAAAAGAGCTCAAAAAGGATGTTTCGCGGTCGCACGTGATGCCACAGGTGATCGCTGGATTGTTATTACTTGTCGAGAGAGAACGGAAAAGCCAGTTGAAGTCACTTTTAATTGGCAGGTTTTTAATACTAACCCTGATGGTAGTCTGGTATCAGCCCAGGGAGATGGAAAACGGGGCGCGCTTCGTGTGGCTGGAGTTGATGGCCTTGACACACGCCCCTCTGCTTTGATTTTCGATAATCACCTTCTTATTACTGCTGGTACCAACTATAAGGCCAGGACTCTTTTTCTTGATTTGAAACTAAACGGCGCAGGACTTCCGGAAGTGAGGCCAAGCCGTGTAGTCCCATACTCAATTGGTCCAAATATAATTCACGCCGGGATCATTTATTACGCTTATCTTTACAAACCCTCAGGGTTTGGTGGAAGCACAGATTCGGAGCAGGTGTTTTTACGCCGGCTACCACCGCAGAGTCGTAGCATCTCCCCAAGGTATAGAGTCAGAGGGCAAAAGGTTGACCCTACGACACTTACAGCGCAAAGCTCTATTGGACCTGACATGCCCGAAAACGATTGGTTCTGGTTCTTGTTCAGAATAAGTACATTGGGTGGTGGAAATGTTATCGAGAGTGGTCAGAGAGTCTTGATTGAAACACCAGATAACCAACCCAATAACAAATTTAAATGGAACGTCGTAAGTTGCAATGGTAAAAACCTTCAAGCTGTTCGAAAGCGACATCTCTGGAAATTTTGGATATTTAAGACGGAGACATGTGATCCTGAAAACATAAAAGTCCTCCACGGAGACATAGGACCGAATGACTGCATACTTCTGTGGCCCAAAAGTCTTCAATTTGGACCCAACTGCTTCTGCAAGAACATTATCGCGTTTCCCACACAGCAACAAATTGAAGGTGCAAGGCAGACCTTTGGTTCATGGTTCGGTCCTTGGCGTCTAATGTTGCCAATGGAGAATACTCCAATTCGTCCAATTCCGGAACCAACAAGCTCGGGAGGAATCGGTTCAGCACCAAGAACTGTTTATGAAGGCAACAAATACGCCTTTCTTCATTATGGTAGTGAAGGAATAAATGTACCCTCCCAGCGTGGAGTAAGAGTAGCCCTTCTTCGATTTGCCAGAACCACTATGGCTCCAGTTGTGGTATCGAAAACTGGAGCCACTCCACCCATCAAAGTAATATTTCGCGGTAACGGTGGACCCCTTCCTCTTGTTGGAGGGTTCCGGAAAGGCAGTGTAAACATTGAAGCAGCGTTCCAGAACGTGTATCGAGAGGGAAGTTTTGCTCAGAAACGAATGACTTCAGGATTGTTTTACAGTATCTCTTATGCACCACCGTCTGACGCCCAGTCAGACTCGCCTGGCCAGTTCACGGACCTAGCAAGGATTGCTGGACTTTATAGTTATGAATATCCTAATCCACCTCAGAACTTTGTCTGGTTACTTCCGCCACCTTTTAAGATAAACGGTATCTGCCAGGCAGTTTCGACACTTTTCGATTTCGATACCGATACCGTAACAAATACCGCACCCGATTCGGTTGACAAGTTGACTGAGGTCGCCGAAAAAGCAGTTGGTCCTGGGAGTTTTAGCGAGGGCCTTTTTAAACCCCTTCTCACGATCCATATCGATATAACGCTACTCCACGTTATAGGTGAACGTGTTAATACAGCCATTTCCGATAAGATCAAGTCCTCTCTACCGCAACCACCAGGAAGTGAAAGTGATACTGAGAGAGATCCTGACCCAAGATGGCAGACGGTTGGAGATGCGGAAGCCTGTTATTACATGTCCGACATGTCTGACTGGAAAGACAAAGTTCTAAAACGAAAAATCAAGGACAAATTGCAGCAGTTGTTTAATTCAGAGTGGATGAAAGGAGAGATGGCTACATTAACATCACAGATAGCACCAGAGGTGATGCGCGATGCCTCCTTGAAGTATTCCAGTTATGGCGGAATTGCTGTTCTAATTGCCAACAGGCTCCGTGGACCGGACTTTTTGGAGCAATTACTTATTCAGGATCTACCAACTTTGAAGCTTGTGCTTCACTCATATCTACCGGTATTGGACGCTATACGACCGGACCTTGGACTAAGTGCAAGAAAGGATATTATCAGTTCACTAATAGCGAGAGCTGTGCTTAATCAGGTATGAAGTAACTAACACAGACCAAACTGTTCCCCAGGATTTGGAAAGGCATCGTGCCACTTTTGTTTCTGTGCGATACGATAGTTACTCTTTTGCGTTGTCCACACGATCAGAACTAAAACAATGCAGTTATTAGAATTAATATTTTCACTGTTATTTCAATAGCTAAGACAATATTCTATTCTATTCATAATGTTCTATTCTGTTATTCCTCTCATCCGCGACTGAACATCTCACGTGAGGTGCACAATCGAATTTATTTCGATAAATTCTCAATTATCATGGACTTTTGGTAGCCCTGGTCCATGACTAGAAACTCGAAAATCGCGTATCAGCTCTCAGCACTTACCAAAGCTTCATCTGCTTATTGGCCGACTTTGCAGCAAGCTCCTACTTAAAACGCTTGTTAGCTATCTCATTTCATTATACGCTAGTTATCAGTGTCGTTCTGGGAAATAAGCAAAAGACGAAAATTCTCAGCATGCAACAGGCAAAATGAAACCCGAGTTCTCTCGATTAGAATCCAACATATTAGACTCCGATTGTACTTTATCATCCAAAATAGAAGTCATGTTACATGTCTCTAACCTGCCTGGACACTCTACGAGTTTTCACTCGGTCAGGGCAACACGGAAAGAGTTTACAACAAAGTTCATTTTTCAAATAGACACCCTTTATCTCCATGGTGTTAACGAACGCTTTTCATTCATCTAATTTACTTCCATTCACACGTTGCTATGGTTAACCAGTCGCACAACTCCGAATTTCCTGTATAAACCAGTCATAACTAATAATTCTGTAGATCAGAAGAGCAGCCTTTTTTTTATAAGAAAGTCTTAGGTTATAGAAAATATGACATGTTTGCAGGGAGCAATCTAAACCTGCCACACCTGTTAATGACTGTTACATTAAGAGACAGTAAATGATTAAAGGGCATGCGCACATTGGAACAGAGAACGATAAGACATGGTTTGATGCTACTCTGGTTTATCATGAATAATTGTAACTGAAAAGTTGCAATCAGAGGCCCATCATTTGGACACTCCTGAGGCTTCAACGCGGGTATGAATGGAGGAAAAGACCCCAACGAATTCACATTTGAAGAAGACAATACACTGGAGTGTCCAAACTTCGTGTCATGTATTGTAACTTTTCGGCAGTTACATTCGTTCATAATAACTCAGAGTAGCGTTAATTTGTCTCTGACTATAAGTGATTTTCTACCATACCCAATTTGATTGAAGAGCATGTCTACCACGCATCTTGCATTGCGTGTTTTAGCTTGCCTTTGTTTTTTTCCATAGCCCTGGAAACTGCTGAAGGCTTCAGATAATCAAGATCTTGCACTCAAACTGGCTTTCGAGACTCTTGTGGGAAACCTAGTACCAGACGAATTGCGCATCCAAATCCGGGACACAGTACTGTTGGTTTTTCGAACCTTGTTTAATCCTATGACCAGCACTCAGCTCGGCATACTTGAACGTGTGTTACAAGTGAAGAAGCAGAATACACTTGGCGTCACTTCTCGGCGGGCACAGGAGTTCCAAGAGAAGTTTTTGGATATGTTCAAGGAAAAACGTGCTGAAGATATAGCAACTTTTGACAGGCGTCTCACCGCCAGAGACGAGGAAGATGAGAGAAATCCACCGGGTGACGATCTTGAAACACTGATTGAGCGACATTATGAAAACCGAGCAATAAAGACTAAACAGTTGCGCCTTTTAATGGATTTCCAAGACCATGTACTACAAAAGCGCTTATACCGTCGGAAAGAAGGCACACTGACGCCACGACCAGAGGGGTTTGTTGAGAGAAGGCTTGTGGAAAATCCACGCCTGTTTGCGAAAGTGTCATTTGCCTTTAACACCATTGGTGCCCTCGGTGCTCTTGGTAGTATCATACTAGAGATAAGTGACTCTGGCAGCGATCTTTACAGTCATAACCTCAATCAATCCATACCCGCCGGTATCGGTGTAGCAGCAACCTTCCTCGGTGCCATTGGATCATGGAAAAGCTCCATTGACTTCATAATTAGTATAAGGGAGCAGATCACTCCTAATACCCCCAACAGCGCTGACGTTGAAGAGATACCCATGCAACAACTAAACAGGGCAGCAGATGACATTCCAGTTTTTGATAGACTGGCCGCCGCGGATTTCCGAGTAGATTTGGCGAGCACGGAGCGCGTTACTACGAGGCTCTCCAAATACTTTACCAGAGCTGCCACGTTTGAAACAAAGCTTTTTCTGGGTCTAGGAGTCGTTGCAGACTTTGCGTTCTTTGGCATAAGCCTTTATAACATTTACAAAGACAGTCAAGAAAAAACACTGGATGGGTGGAAGTTAGCAGACGATATTGGACTAGCGGTTTCATCTACTTTAGGGGTAGTAGTTGGTAAGTCAGTTAATAATAGCTAATTTTAAGGTGGTTTAATTAAAACTCGTCAAAACACAAAATTGAAGTACACTGAAAGGAAAACACAAAGCCAACAGATCACCTTTGTCACGAGCTACACGTTATCTGTCTATTATTATTTCTTTTCTCTACTTACCCAACTTTCAAATAGCATTTCTGTGGAACGAGAACCAAAACGTGCTGTTAGTGATCAAGGAAGTTTTCTCCTCAAACAATCCGTTGGCACTGGTATTCTGAACTTAAATTCGGGGTTAACGATATGACAGAATAGGCTACTGTAATTTGATGTTTCTTCATAATGAATGATTTAGATGCTTTGGTACTCTTCCTACCAGGAGCCCATTCCTCCTGTCTCTACCTACGATCGCCTTCTGGCTAAAGAACCCGTTTTAAGTTTCCATACTATCTCTGTTTTTAGACTTGTTCTCATGAGCGAACGAACATTGCCCTATGAGGCAGTTTGAGGAGTAACGCTTTAGTCGTTTTTTATTGCTTTAGCTCCCGTAGGAGGACAACCGAATGTAAGAGAAAATCCCATTGACCTTTCTTCGTCATAATGACTTCAAAGTAGATCGATATAAAGTGCCATATACAAAATATAGTGTTTGATAACGCACTGCTGTGGCCAAGTACATCTAGTCACATTTCCATTGCTTCGAAGGTGACAACTGACCTGCGAGAGCCATTCTTGTAAGCAGCTGCTCCATATAAAGTCACCATTATTCCTTCTCCTGGGTGTCGACTTATGAGAGTATTAGCTGTAGCTTTAGTACTAGCTGTAGTAACAACAACAACTAACTCCCTCCCTGAAAAATTAACAAGAACACTGTCTTTAAGAAAGGGTTGGCTCATTCCCTGGTAGATGCTTTTTTAATTCTTAGAGTTGTTCTTTGTGGTTTAGAATAAGTCTCCAACTATGACGTGGCATCTAGCGTCTTTTGGAGGTACATTTTACCCCATTCCATCTAATCCCAATTACCTTCAAGAGTGACTTTCGTTTATGCGTTTGGGGTGCTGGTTTTTTTTTTTTCGCGAGTCCTTTGCGGGTTCGACCTTGGGCCCCGCTTTGCAACCACGTGTCCGTATGGTCTCCGAAGTGTGCGACCAATAACCCCCAGCCCGTTATTTCATCTTCTTTATAGATGGCTTCCTTTTTGGTTTCCGAGGGCTTTATTTTTGAATTCCTTTAGGTCATCAAATCTGCCGGATAGTTTCAAGTTTCTTGTGTCTTTGTGAACACCTAGGGTTTATTTTAAAGCTGTTTTGTATTGAGTTATTATTTTTTTTAATGTACTTTATTGGCTTCATGCACTACTATTAATTACAAAAACTATTGCATATATCGCTTAACTTACTTTACATTGGTTTCAACAGTACTAACGTTAACATTTCTCTTATGTGTAACTAACTAATGCTATGTATGGTTTTGCGCTTAAACTGCGAGGGGCACTTTTTCGTAGCTAATGACCAAAGCTTTCTATTCTGTACTTAAATAAAACTTTATTAACAATGCCAGAAAGGTAAATAGCTTGGTTATGCATCTTACTGGTGTATATGTAGTATTTCATGATTGTGTAATTAAATTTCTTTAATATTTCTTTTCGGTATGGGCCAGATATAATACCAAATAGTTTCTCTCTGGCGTCTGCAAGGAGACAAAACTGAAAGAATTCCAGTTTAAATTAATTCATAGGATTGCAGTTACAAAAAAAGAGCTTCATCGATATGTTATTAAAGCGGACGATGAATGTCTCTACTATGGTGAGAAATATTCAATTGATCACACTTTTCTTAACTGTCGAATTGTAAAGATTTTCGTAGACAACGTAATTGACTGGTTTAACGCTGCCAACAACTCGAATTAAATTATCTTTTTCAGGAATTCTTACTATAGCTGGGATGGAGACAGGGCCTGCAGGGATCTTTGTTCTACTGTTTGGACTCGCTTTCGTCATCAGTGACGCTGTCAGGGCTCGCAAGAGGGCTGAAGAAGCACTTCATCAAGCACGTTGTGACGCTTGGAGAGATTGGTGCAATTGGGGAAAAGCTATCTTTAATAGGAAAGATTTTAACTTTCTGTAAGTTGTGACTATTCTGACTGTGATCATCGTCTGCGTAACTGAGGAGGACGGAGGCAAAATGTACCAATTTGTGCCGCGTTTCGATTTTACCATTTTGATCCTCCATAATTCAGCCACGTACTGCTATACAGAAAGTGCTACAATTCGTTTAGTTTTAATGCCTAAACTATTCGCGATAGCATATTTGTACCACAGCGTAAATCGCCATACCTTAGCTTGCCTACAACCAGTTTATAGTGTACCCTGGTAACTGTGTTCATCCAACGTCCCAGTGATAATTTAATTTTAGAAAATCCGTCTAATGCTTTGGAGAGGGGGGGTTTGGGGGCAGGCAGGTAGTGTGGTTAGCGCGTCGAACTTCCAAGCAGGAGGCCTTCGAACAAGTTATTGAGCCGTTTCTTGTTTCTTCACAAAACCAACTTATCTCCATTTTTCCTTTTCACCCAGGTGTATAAATTGGCAACGACTATATTAAGCTGGTGGGGGAGGGGCTGCGATAGGCTAGCATCCCATCCAGGGGGAGAATAACAACACATCTAAGGTTTTTCATGCTAAAGAAACCGGGATAAGCTCTGGTTGTGTGGACCTCATCGCTCGTGTGTGCCGTTACTTTTCACCCCTTAGTTTGTGGCAAATTTGTGGAACTGCTAATGTATAATGACATAAATCCCCTCATTGCTTTTTGTTGGATTTACAGTAAAGATCCAGCCAGTGACCCTTGTACACCTTGTCCACTCAAAAGGCGTGACCATATGCGTGCTCTCTGTCAGAGGGGTCATGTCTCCATGGCCCAGTGGCTCGTTCTGGGAAAGCCAAAAAAATCAGACATATATGTCAGAAGCCTTTTGTCTGATCTTCACACCACGAAACAGAAGAGTAAGTAAATGAGAGCTTTTCGTTAAGGACAGGACTCAACGGCGTCCAAGGAAGAGGGGGGAGGTGGTAAGGACTGAGAGGTGGATGGAACCACCCCCCGTGTGTTTTTGTTTTGTTTTAATATTTTCGAGATATTTTACCGTCAATTGACAGCCTGTCGTGTAATCTACAAGTTGATACAAAACGTTTGTCGGTTAGCGTAATAAACACGCTGCTGAAGGCCTGAGATATAATGCAAGATTGCAGATTTAGTAAAAAATCAGTTTTGTCTTTAAATCGTATTTTGTTGCGTTCTGCTTCCATGTTTTTGACAAACTATTTTTTTCACAACCTAAAATGTCAAACACGATTTAATTTATCATGTTTGTGTTATAAATTAGATAAACTCTAGTTTTATGGTCTCTAAAACATGTTCTCGTGTAAAAGGCTTGACCATGCCTCACTTTGCGTTAAACATTTCAATAACCTTATGGCCGCCTTTCCTTCCATTCTTACCAAATATGACTAAGATGTAAATAAACAGCTACTATGAATTTCCAAAGAGAAGGTTTTAATAATTTTTGAGAAATCGTTAAGAAACCTTATGGGGGGAGGTCAGCCTATGAAAATCAAACATTGTCTAAATGATATACCTTGTGTAACATCTATCATTTTTAAAGTCTTACAAGCTCTGCAACGCGCTAAGTTGTATATAAATCAATTTCTTGCATCTGTTGCTGACATTATAAATTAGTAATATGAGTTAAAGTCGTTAAATCCCGGTTATGTTCAAACTTAATTAATGGCACAGATCGGTCTCCCGTTACGCGGTCGTCCAATTTTGTTATCACTTGCATGTTTGTTTACGGACCGAATTGGATCTTCAGTTAGTTCTATTACTGTAACAAACGTCACCTGCCTTTTTTCGTGTCTTACAGCTTGCCCCGCCTGGCTGCGTCATTTATACAAACGTCGAGGTAAGTTCTGCGCATGTGCTGAAGAGCAATATAAGTGCAGGCAAATATTCTGTCACTTTGGTCTAAAACAGGAGCCCTAGATTTGACCTTTTCATAGTGCTTTGCACACTAAATGCGATATCAATACGGCCTCTTCTTATTCAAGATAAGGAATATTGATTAAGCAAGGCGATTGGGGGTAGTCCATAACCAGAGGTCTTAATGTGATATACAGTAAATTTTCCACCAGTTTACTATCTATTTAGAACGGCACTGTTAGATGTTTTGCGGGAAGAAACATGACAGCTTCGCGATCCTAACAAGGTTCTTGAAACCGTGAGTCAAGCCCTCACCCCGCGTTACGGTGCAACGATAGGGTCAGGACTTGATTGGTTCGCGCCGAACAGTTAGGCCACTTGCTTTTCTATGGACTGGAATATAACCAGTTTTACCAGCGCCTTTGTTTTGACTTAAGCTACTGGTGGGCATTACGAAATCGAACTTCAGAGCTTTAAATCTATTGCAGACTCCAGCAGTACGACACTTTTTTTATCAAATATGTGTTTATCTGTTGGTGCAGGATCAACCAAAGGAAGAAAAAAGAAACACAATTTAGGCAGGAAACAGAGAAGCGATCTGTGAAGATATAATTTGGAGCCGGACCGTCTACCACAAAGAAACAAAGGAATCAACGATCGATACATGATTAGTAGTATAAAATTAAAGACGAAAGTGCGGACTGAGAGGTTGTAAAGTTACATAAGGCAACATAGGAAGATAAAACATGGACCTTTGTGTAACAATAGAGGAAAACTATGAAACAAAACTATCCATTAGGCTCTTAAGTAGAATATTGTACTAAAACAAGGCAAGGAAGAGAAAATAAAGTCAGTCACAAAACAGTGAGCTAAGCAAGGATATTGTTACAAGACAAGATTATTTGTGAGAAGAGAGAGATTCTCTACATCAAAAGGCTCTTTAAAGGGTAAATAGGATTGAGATGTGGGGTTCTTGGGTTAAAAGTTTTTAATGGCAAGTACTGGTTAAGCGATCATGATCTTGGAGTAAAGAGAGATGACTAATCAAAATGCTTTCAAACTTCCAAAGTGCGGAATTGAAGGGCCGCATTGTAAGTTACGGACCAAGGATTTTTCAATCGATACAGTACGGCCCAAAAAAACGAAGTTTGCTTTTCAAGAGAAGAAATTCCAAAGAAGTGGAATAACCACTGATAGGAGAGGGGTGAGTAGGTAATTCGTGACACGGCGTGTTGACGAGTGGTCGAAAACACTCGTTCAAGGAATAATATATAGTTAGCCAAGCCTAAAAGCGGAGCTCTGAGTAGAGTAGATGTTAAGCATAACTTATGCTGACTTAAGAAAATCTATTGAGGGAGTTGACTTTATAACCTAAAATTGTTTCCGAGTCATTAGTGCGGCTTCATAGTGACGGCTAGCTGGGAGAAAATATAGTTTCTCCCTAGGCGTATAAGTGAAACGACAGAGCCCATCAGGAAAATTTAGTCTTGAATCTCTATTCAAACGTTATCCGGGCCATTAAAGAGCTAACATTCAAAACAAATTGTGCTGATCAACCTTGTTATTCTTATTAATTGTCTTTTGCAGTGCTTAAATTGTACGCGTGATCAAGTCTGTTTTGACAGAAAAGTTTTCAAAACACCGCATTTTTGTATCGAAAACTGCCTATTCAAGCAATACAAATTCGCTACATGATGTGTATGGCTTTTTCTAAAGTACTGGCATCAACGAAATCTAGGTGGTAAACTTAGCTTTTCCAATTTGACAGAGAGTAGGGATTCAGCGCGCAGTGCAAAATCTTGATGTAAGCAGCTTATCAACAAACCGAAAATGAGCTATAAACCTTATCTTTTCTCTAACTTTTAATTAAGTGGACCGTTGCTCTAAATAATTACTGACGAGTCTCAAAGTTCCCAGTACACCCGCCGATACTTAAAGGAGAAATAGAACTTTTTCTTCTCTCAGCAAGGAAACCAACAAACTGCAGCGCTGCCGGAAGTTTTTCATCCCAACACGGGCTTTCATTTCTCATCAAGTTAAATTATCTTCTCTCTTGATAGCAAAACTATCGAAGATTCCCGATACAAATTTATGCATCAATGTTTTCAAAATGAAACCCATAGTTTATTGTACAAGCAAAGATATGGAGAAAGTCGAAACTTTTTACACTTCAGTGTAATGGGCAGATTTGATACCTTAAGGTGATTCCTTAGTAAAAGAACCTAACATAGATTGTAGATGAAACTTGGTACACTGATGTAACAATTCAAGAAGATGATAAAAAAAGTAATAAAAAGTGGGGGTCACCGTGCTCGTTTTGACGTCACAATGCTGACAAAAACGGCTATTTAGGACCCTTTTACAAAAACCGCGGGCAGCCCAAAACTAGACAAAAAGGAGAGGTTTTTTCGATGATGCATGTGGTATCGCACAGAATTTGACTTAAATGTATTGTTTAACCACTTACGTACCAGAATAATGCCTTTTAATGCCCTTGTTTTTACTTTACGCTCCAAAGTAGAATTAAATTGGACACACGCTCTTCGACCCGTGATAGCTCAATCCGTACAATTTAGTAAAATTGCCAAAAAACTGAACATAGATTTATGCCAATTTTTTTCTCATCGAAAGGAAGCACTGTCCTTATTAAAATCATGAAATAAAAAATGGGGGTCACCGTACTCATTTCTGCGGTAGAGCTGCAGAAAGTGTGCACCAAATGCATTTTCTCCGATTTTTGAGAGAGGACTGGGGCGAGTTTCAAAATAGAATGCATGTGAAAGGGGGAAGAAAGTATTAAAAAAATCCGTTTTTACAGAATTTACGTCGAGATATCACACTTAGGACACATTGTGATAAAGAAAGCGTTTAAATGAAAATCAAAGTGAGTAAGCACAAGTTAAACATCCACTATCGAGGTTCTCCGAGAGGAAGTCGAACACAGCAACACGCGTACTGCTTACGTTATGCACACTCGCAACACAATGAGTCTCACCTCGGCAAGAAACAACAGCAAGCAAAAATTCCAATAGCGTTTCTCTTCAGTCAACTTCATTTTAATAAAGTTATTTCACATGCTCTTTTTTACGGCGGCCATCTCGTTATGCGCAGTAAGAGATGCGCAGTGCAAAACCAGGGAATCACCTTAACACGTAACAAACGACGTCGGCTGGTCAAGGTGATAAAGAACACCGATTGTGAAAACCTGCGGCCATTTTTCTTCTCCCATGAAAGGAAAAACAGCCAACAAAGCTAAATGTCTATCATTAACCTAAGCCAAAGCTTAAGTTTCTTACCCCCATCGCTTTCTCTTTATAGCTCTACGATGCTTGATCATGACGCGGTAACCTGTTCACACTCTTGTTTTATCTTTTCCTCGGTAGGTCGTTGCCTCTTTCTCTTGATGTCTCTTTCTCAGTGTTCCTTTGCTCCAGGTCATTCGTCGTCTCTTTCCTCACTCTACCTCTGCTCCTCGGAAGCCCGTTGCTTAATCCTCATATCAAGCTTTGCGTTTAATTTTTGATAGACAATGGCACTTTTATGGGCATTTTTATTGTTTAGAGCTTTGCGGTTCTTTTGTTTCTAGAACAAACGTTTGAAAGAACCGGCGCTTACCAAATTTCCGAGCGCGAGATTCCAAATCTTCGTTGACGACCAGATGTTGACAATATGACCCTTCTCGGGGTGGGGGTAAGGGAAATGTCGCTCAGAACAACGACAGTTTTACTGGGAGTACGGAAGGGAAATTTGTCACATGACGCGCGGGCTGTCGAAGTTTCAATGTATTCACTTCTTCACGCAAACCGGCGAATTTCGGCGTTCAGAAGCACGCTAAAAGGGTTAGGGTTTGTATTCTAAAATACAAAAGGAAAAGAGCAAAACAACTACAAGCAAAACCCAGTCATCGGATAAGAAACTGAAAAGTAAAGAGAATTAATAAGCATTTTTTCTGGTTTGATACTCGGCAATAGGCTAGGTACTATTAAAGCCAAAGCCGCTGCGAGGAAAGTAACCTACCTGCAGCGAAGAGCTACTGTATATAGTTACCGCCCCTATCAATTATGTTCGAAATATCAGTGAACTGTTAGGAGGATTAAAGTGTCATTAAAAGCATGAGAAAACAAGAGCGGCTTTCGTGTTGTTTAAAAATACAATTGTTGCGATATTACCGATGTTACTCCCCAAATTCGATTTTAAGCTGGAAGGATCTCTTTGCCAACATATAAATTGCAGATTACATATATAGTCAATCTTAAAAATTGTAACAGGATTCTTGAGGAATTTAGTTACAAACCACTTTCAGTGCAGTAGTTCCACTAGAGTAATTATAACTTGAACGCTTTCAAGGCCGTTTTGCATTGTTTTCTCGTCTTTGTCTCTTAATCGTCAGCAAACCATTATTTGACAAAAACTTTATTTTCCATGTAGAAGCTCGCGCCGCCAACCTTTGTTAGATCTTGTGTGCAGCATGAATGAAGTTCTAATGAATACCTTTCTTCAGCTTATTCTGCGAATTCCCAATAGAGAAAAATTGCCGACCTATAAAATTTTTTAAGCGCAACTGAGAAATTCCGAAAATAAGCCCCTTCAAATATAAGCCCCCCAAACCCGTAACGCAAAAAATCCTCCGTTAAATCGCCCCTCCAAATATAAGCCCCCGGGGGCTTGTACTTGGAAACTGCCCTCAAATACAAAGTAAAACAAAGCCAAAACGTTAAATTTCCTTCCATTGATAAGGCTAGGCCAATCGATTTTGAAACGCAAATTTCCCTCCTTAGATAAGCCCCTCCGAATATAAGCCCCTCCAAAAATAAGCCCCCCAAAAAGGGCCTTTGAAAAATATGAGCCCCGGGGCTTATTTTCGGAATTTTACGGTATATAATTTACCTAATTACATTAAATAGGAAAAAAATAAAAATGGCTGAACGTGCAAGTGCAGAAACGAAAAGAAAAAAGCGAGAAAAAAATAATGCAAGAGTATACGAGGAAAAAAACCAAAGAAAGCGAAAAACTACACACAAGCATTAAGGGAACTAAAGTGTTCTTATATCAAGAAAAATGTCTTAAGTTTAGAAGTGAACACAGCATTAATATAGCGTAGAAATAGTGTTTAAATACAATGGAATTGGTCTTTTCCTGTCTGGGATTCCCAACTGCTTTAAATGACCTGTCGTCTTTGACACTGATCTTGCCCCCACCGCCACTGACACAACTCTCGTCTTTGTATTCCACATACTCTTGCCAGGTCTTGATATTATGATTATCATTATAATTATCAAGAAAAAATGGAGAGAATTTTTAATACAATTTATACGGAAAAACCTTTCAGTTTTTTCCCAATATTTTTTCTTTTAACAATTTACCATGATTTACTAATTCAAGTCAGTTGAGAACAAAATATTTTGAATGTAAAAATAAAAAGATGCACTTTAATGTTGTGTAAGGTAAAAAAAAATGAGACATGCTCGCCCGATGAGGGACTTGAACCCGCGACCCTCAGATTAAAAGTCTGATGCTCTACCGACTGAGCTAACCGGGCTTGCTCTAACATGGATGGAAATTTTTTATTAATTATTTGTAAACAGAGAACAACAAACACCATTGAAAAATATCGCCTCGTTTTGATGCTGAGCCGTCTGTGCCATTTTCTGTTTGATAGCAATAGTCTATTGTAGTTTATGTGCTTAAAATGCATCTTATGTACTATCTCGACGACAAAGGGAAGCGAGTTTACACTTTGAAGGTAAGCTTAAGAACAGATCAAACTTTTGTTAAGGTTTTTAAAGACTTTTTTAACGTGATTTCCATCAAGTGTATACAGCTGAGTTAGTTACTTTTGGTCCACGTGCGAGGAGATCACTCAAATCATAAGTTTACTCTATTCGCAAAATGACTTGAAAACGATTATTCTTCTTTGATTTGCAGAAGATCGATCCTTCAGGCCACCCGACAAAGTCTGCTCATCCAGGTGTTGTCATCTTTCCCCTTTTTTATAATCGTAGCGCATGGAAGAACGAACGACGTTTAGAAGCCATTCTTGTCCCGTCTTGGGTAAAACCGGATAAAGGATGGCTTCTAAAGCTCTAAACAGTGTTTAAATAGTATAATTCAGGAAGAAACGAGACCATTTCGGAGTAAGAGCTAACGTTGACATGGTTTGGCCAACTCTAGCGCACACTGTTGGGACCTCGAGTCTGAGTGTCCTCATTAGGGAGAGTAGGATTTAGCAGCTGTCTGTATTATCGGCGTGTCCATTATAGCGAGGTGTCCCCGAGAGTTGACTGTACCTAGTGTACTGCTGCCTGCTAGTGGATATTGTCGATATTTAGGCTATGTTGACACTGTACCAGAAAGCTTCGGTTTTGGCCAGCACAAAAACCATACCAGCTAGGGCTTCTGCTGTCACATAATTTCAGCATGACTTCTGTAACAGAGTGACGCTGCACTGTGCCCATCACTAAAGTGGAGACCCGAGAGTCACACTTTAACTTAGCCTGCAATTATACAGCGTCTCTCCTCGCTCACTGCTGGTAAGGACGTTTCACAGGGAAAGCGTCTGCACTTTAGCAACAGAAATTTGATACTGATGAGGTAAAATCAATCCAGAACCTAGTCAGGAGCTCTGATTGGCTGACATTGTAGTTATATTGTTTTTGCTATTGTTTACGAAGACAAAAGATAAAAGGCCATAAAGGTCAAATGTAAACGTGATGAATCTACTGCAAAATAATCAATATTCTTGCAAATATATTCTCCTTAGGAGAGGCATTCGAGTTTGCTGGAGCTTGTTTGCAGAAGAACACAGAACTTTACCATAATCGACCAGGAGAAATAAAAAATCAAACAAATTTACATTTGGAGCCCTACAAAAATGGCTATATTTGGATTGATTATGTAAACATTTAATTATGTCATCAGTTTGGAATTTCTGTCACTGAAGCACATGTACAGTCGAACCTCGATTATCCGGACTCGTTGGGACCAGACGAAATAGTCCGGATAATCGAGGATGCGGATAATAAAAAAAATTATATGAATATTAATGAAGGACAAAACTGATTAAATTGAGAAATCGACTATTAATCGTGAAACAAGACTTTTACAAATCGTTTGGGGGACCAGAAATTGGAGTGCCAGATGTTCGTTGCTGAATAAACCAGACATACAGGGCTTTATCGAGCTCTACATCATGTTGCAGATATCAAAGATCTGCTGCTTACTTCTTCATTAGTTACGACACGTGCGAGCACTGCATTTGCTGTTTGAAAGCAAAAAAACCTCGCATTTGACTGCACTTTTCAATGCTGTAGTTTTAAAAAGGATATGGCTACGGATCTTGATCATGACTAATAATATTCATGACCAAATTTAGCCTCCCACGGAAACGTTCTTAGGGGTTCGTCATGCAATCTTTCCTCCCCCACGGACCACGTTCGTGGGGGAGGAAAGATTACGTGACGAACCCCTAAGAACGTTTGCGTGGGAGGCTAGACCAAATTGGGACCGGAGAAAAAGTCTGGATAATTGAGAAATCCGGATAATCGAGGTCTGGATGATCGAGGTTCGACTGTACAGATGTCTTTCCTGCAAAACTTCCCTGGAAGTCAGGAGCAAGGAGAGATGGCTGTATTTGCAGGCTAATAACGGATAGGTGTTCATACTGGATTGAAATATGGGGTGGCAAGGCAAGAGGGTTTCTCTACAATACCAGACGGCTTTTCATGTCACCACAAAGAGCTGTCCGGAAAATGTGAACATAGCCTTAGTTTACTATATAGCGCAATCTTCATGCATTAATTTATAACATTGCTCCAGGTGGGCTTAACTTCGGAATACAGTGTACTGCGAGCCACTGAAATATTCCCCAACAACTCCTGCTACCGCAGTCTGCCGTGCGCATTGCTATTAATGTAATATACCTTATTCTTTAATCCACAAATCTCAGTTAACAGTAGGAAAGATATAGTAAGCTTGTATGATGAACAGTAGAAAGCTATTTTGCTTTAAAGAATACACCTCATTCCAAAGTGGTGGCAATATTACTTTTTTATGTAATATGTTTTGGAATTATGGCGTACTGCCTTCTGACATCCCTTCGCTTGAGTCGCTTGCTCACTCAGTGACACTAAGTGAGTAAGTGACTCAGGGATTTCGAAAAATTCAGGCTACTCCCTCCATTAACGTTTGTGATTGTTGTACCTCTGAAAAATTGCCCTATTTTGACGAGCTTATAAGAGGCAACACTCCAGCTCTCATTCAATGAAATGCACCAAGGCTGTGCTCTAAGGAAAATTGAAGGAAGCCCAGTGCTCTGAAAATGTAAAATGTAGAGTGCCCAGGATATGATTTGTATGAAAAATCTGAGATTTTCTAGTCTCCCGAGGGCAAAAGTTAGGTGCCAGGGGCCACCAGGCTCTGCTAGAGCTGCACCAAAGTTCTGCCTGCTTTTAAGTTTAGAACAATCTGATTTTATTCAAGATTATCACTGCTACTTTTACAGTGATCCATGCTATGGTGGTAAAATACCTCTTTAAAACTATGCCAAAACTCGGAGACAGAGCCTTTATGGCTGTGGTTCTAAAGCTCTTGAATATTTTGGTCCATGATATTAGAAATACCACAGATTTTACCTTATTTAAACAAGTCTGTACTTTTTAAGCAAGCTTATGGGTAAGGCTAGGATAGTTCATTATTTGATTTTAATTCTTTGTAAGTACATATATAGACGGCTAAATTAATTTATTTTTATACCTTAGTTATTCCAGTATTTCATTGCAAGGTGCATTTTAAAACTTTGTTAAAAGAGCGTTTAACTTCACGTATACAGCAAATGGCAATCGTCAGATTCAAGTGAGAATTTCTCAAAATAGAAAATGAGCAGATAAAACCACTCAAAACGATTCTTATGGACAAAAAAAATTGCGTGAAACTGCCAGTTGCCAGTTTGTGTGTTGAAATAATGGCAAGTAAAGTGGAAACTTGCTCATGTGACACAAATTCGCATTTGCCGTGATGTGAATGTGATAATTTGTGCATTACAAACAAATATTTTCCTGCCAGCAGAGACCTCTTCTTCCTGGTATTTCAATTTTGAAATACATAGATATTTTAAAATGTTGGACACAGCCATCAGCCATTCACTATGTTGTATTTTTCAGCGCGCTTTTCACCAGATGACAAGTATTCCCGGCACAGAGTGACCCTAAAAAGAAGATTTGGCATCTTACCTACTCAACAACCTAAACCTGTTTACTAAGAGGTGCAGAAGGAACTTGAAGTTGAAGAAATGTACATGTACAGCTACAAATGTAACCTGTTTTGAAATTGACTGTTACACTTTGATTGGACTGGTTGTGAATATGATCACTATTATTTTCTAATTCTTCTTTTGGGGTGAAGATGAAGCATTATTGAAAACCACTTTCTTCAAAATTATTATCGTCATCATTGTTGTCATCATCGTCGTCATCATCGGACTAGTCTTATTTTAAGTTCTGTATTTATTTCAGTTGTTGCAGCAATGTTGTCTATTTTCATGTTTGTTGTTTTACTGAACAGATGTATATAAGGGAATGTAACAGTCCAGCTGAAAGCAGAGAGTTTAGTCTTTTAACAACAATCATGGCAGGACTAGAATATGTTGAGTAAGCAAGCATTACTTTGCTTGTGCATCATGCTTTTGGGCACATTTATTACTTAATGGCTTTTATACCCATTAAACACTCAAAAATTTCAATTCCTACCTTGAAATGGTTTATCCTGAAATAAGAGAGGTTATTGAAATCATACATTTTTTTCATCATACTCGATGTTTCTCACAATTCGCGCTCGATCTCGTATCAGTTCAGGAGTACCTTATTTATTCGATTAACCGCCCTGGGCGCTTATTAAATTTTCGGACCTTGAAAGAGGGCGCTTGTTCGAGGCTGGGCACTTATTAAATTTTCACCATTTTCAGCAAGTGTGGTATGTTTATTTTGCAACAAAACAATAAAAAACGCGAAAATTTGAGGAAAATTCCAACGTTCTCGTAGACCATGAATCTAGATAGTGTAAGCCAGTGAATAAATAATGATCAATACTACTCTTGTGCACTTAATGCTTGGGGGGTGGGCGCTTATTAACGTTTTCTGCCTTTAGAATAGGCGCTTATTCGAGGTGGGCGCTAATTCGAGGTATGGCGCTTATACGAATAAATACGGTATGCAGTTTTGGAATAAGCAAAAACAATGGTCTACATCACAGCCGACGATGATGATTTTCAAAACATACGAAATGGCGGGCAAGAGAAAGGAAGAGTACTGACCGAAATTCTCGTTTATTCTCGTTTTATCGCGACTTTTATTTTGTCTTCTCGTTACTATGAATTGAGAAACACACCAAAGGCAGGGAAAAGCCGTTCTTGCGCTATAATTCTTAGTTTATCGCGCACTTTATAAACAATTATTGGATGAGGTTTTTCTAATTTTCGGATTAATCAAGGCCGAGATAAGTGTTATCGGCCGAGCTGAAGGCTTAGGCTGAAAACACTCACCGAGACCTTGATTATTCCGGATATCACAAAAACCGAGTCTAATAATTGTTTTATTTGTCATTGTCTTGAAGAAAATAACGACAAACACAGCCTCGCACGAAACACTTTTTGTGCAATCATTCATTGCGCGGGCAACCTACAGATCAGTCAGTTATCTGCTAGCAGATAATTGTCCAATCTGTAGGAGCTTTAGCATCGACAACGGCGACGGCAGCGAAAACGTCACTTTTTAAATAAATTCGCGCGTTTTTTCAAACTTCTTCGCGTTTATATCAATCCGCTGAAAATGTCATAGTCTATTCAAAAATTTGTTGGACCCGTGTAAACGAGGTCTCAGTATACAGTTTGTCGGAAAAAATGTGCACGCGACAATCCCGAAAGGTAGTATGGGATATGATCAATACACTGTTCCTGACACTGTAGCTGTCGACCCTACTTTTGTTGCTTTCCTTTAGCACTCGCAAACATACGTTCCATGGGCTCTTGTGACATTCTTTCAAATTTCTTTCTCAAACTCATTAATAATTCATTAAGAAAATACAAAGGAAATTAATGTTTAATGAGTGTTTGGAAATCGGATGAAACACTGCTTAGTATTTGCATCCTTAATTTCTCCTTCAAAAATGATTTTGTTTGAGAAGAAATATCAAACATTCGACACAGTGTTTCATCACCAGATGAAACACCTCGAGGTTCGTCAAAAATACTCCGCTGCGCGTCGTATTTTCAACTCTCTTCTCGGTGTTTCATCTGGTGATGAAACACTGCGTCTCATGTTTGATATATTACTTGAAGAATAATGGACTCAAAACCACCCACAATACCTTTCGGGATTGTCGCGTGCACTTTTTCCGCTGCGCGCAGTTACTATTTATAGACCCGAAACTCAGACAAACAAACTGAACTTAACATTAACGAATTCCTCACTATTGTCTGAATTTTGTCATTAAAATGTCATGTTTGTCTGTCTTTTGTCATTAAAATGAGAAAAACGACAAAACTCAGACAAAAATTGCAAATTAGTCCCTCTCACGTCATTCGCGTGAGAAAGTGCGTGCGTGCACTTATCAAGTGTTCTTATAGACCCGCCCTCAACCAATGAGAGTGCGGTTATTGTAAAATACCACGACAGCTGATGCGTAAATAACGTTACTTATTACAAGGCAGGTGTGCAGATTTTGCGAAGTCCATTCGACAATAGCACAACGCACGAGTCCGAATCCTTATAATTTCCCGAGCCTTTTTTGTCTGAGTGACAAATTTGCAATGCTTGTCAGACTTTTTTCATTTCACTGACTTTTACCATGGAAATGAAAAAGTCAGACAAAAGGGACGAATTAGTTAATCTAAATTCCTTTTTGTCTGTCTGAGTTTCAATTCTATAAATAGGAACTGTGCTCAGCGCTATTATATTGAATGGCCACATCGCTCTGAGCCCCGGAAAGTATCCTTTGCCTTCAAACGCTTTCTCAGCGTAATCTGTGCTCGCTTTGAAGAAACGAAATGGGCGAGAGGAAAACAACTCAATTTCCTTCTCCTATGCCGGAGAAGTTTATTAAGTTACTTGAAGGTTTTCGTGTGTCCAAAGTACTATTTGCAGCGTGTGAATTGAGTATCTTCGACAAACTGCGCTCCGCATCCGTACCACAATCGGCCAGCGAAATAACGCAAACGTTGTCCTCCAATCTCGACGCCACTACACGTCTCATGGACACCCTTGTGGCAATGGAATTGCTAGAAAAATCCAAACAGGGTGACCGATGGTTGTACAATAATTCTGAAATGGCCACTAAATTTCTCACCACAGAGAGTCCAGATTCCGCACTAGGGCTCATAAATTTAGAGAATAATATATCATACCACTTCTACGGAAATCTAGAAAGCGCAGTGAAGGAAGGAGAAACACAGTGGGAGAGGATATATGGAAAATCATCCGTAGAGGTTTTCAAAGAGCATTACAACACCGAAGACGACACTTTACGGTTCATGAGTGCCATGCATTTTAACTCACTATGTGGAAGTTATGCAGTTGCGAAAGCCATGGATTTGAGCAAATATAGCAGCTGCTGCGATTTAGGAGGTAGGTGAAATTTGTTATTACTGGATTTATGTTGAGTGAGAGTTTTCTCGAGCTGAATATAACGTGTCTCCGTAGACAGGGGTCCATGGTCCTGAAGTACGGTGCCCCATAAAGGACAGCACTTTCAATAATAATTTTCACGAACATTGTAAGAGAAAAGCGCTAAAAATTGAATATTACACTGCCACAAAGCAGTGTAAACCTGCACACTTCACTCCAATTTAACTCGCTATGCAAAAAAAACACATCTCCACACTGCAAATAACATAAATTACCGCACTGGAAACAAAATATATCGGCGCACGCTGCAAACAAAGTAGATATCCGCATTGCGACTAAGAAACTTTTGTTTTTACCCACTCCAACCAAAAAATTGAACAATGCAAACAAAGCAAAATTGCAAAAGGATTTGCTTGTGAGGAGTAAATAGAACAAATATGAAAGGATGAAAAAATGTCCCATAAAAACTACGCATCGGAAAAACCACCCCGCTCGCTCTCTTCCTCCCACGAGAAACCCTTAGAACAAGGTTGAATTTTTTCAGCAGGTTTAGTGACTTTAGAGGTAGCATTTAAACAGTATAAAGAAGTGAGTTACCCTCGCTTGTGTACCAAACCTTCTTCAAAACACTAAAGAAAAACATAGATTCATTGTTCAAGATTTTACAAAGTCGTATTTCATAGTTTATGAGCGATTTCAATCCTGAGTCTGTGTGGAAGGTTGTTCGCAGTTTATTCCTGGCGTAGTCAGTGTCTTCCTGCATACTAATTCTGTAGCTCGAGAATTTTGCCCCATTCTTCTCCCGGCTTAAATTCATCGCCGCGGCGCTCTGTGTGGTCTATGGCTGCCCGTTACCCTTCCCATGACCCTTGCGCTTCGTCACAAGTCACTCGCGTTTCGCGCACGCCTCTATGCGAAACCTTGATGCGAAACCATGTGAAAAGCGAAGCGCCTGAGGAGGAGGCTGGGTCTATGGTTAAAAGTATCGCGCGCAATGAATCCCGCCAGCTACGCGGGCTAGGGCCATATCTAGCTATTTGTCATCCTGACGTTGTCAGATTTTATTCCACAAACGTTTAGACAAAGACGCTTTGTAACAGTTTCATCATATTTTGCTGACCTCATGGTCTGGACGCCGCCGTTGCCGTTTTTGATCTGGGAAATGAATTAAAGCTTAATTTTCCAATTATTTTGTCAATTAATTTAACTAGGGGCTGTGGGCACTCTCGCCTATGCTTTGTGTCAGTTTAACCCTAAAATGAAGATAACAGTTTGTGACTTGGAGCCAGCCGTGAGTTTAGCCCATCACTTCCGACCATCAGTGGAAGCTTGCCCAAATCAAGCCAACGTTTCCTTTGCGATCGGCGATTTCTTCAAACCTGAAACTCTACCAAAGGCTGAATTGTATGTGTTGTCTCACGTTCTCCACGACTGGTCAGAGGACAAAGTTGACTTGATCCTTTCAAATGTCTACAAGTGCTTACCCTCAGGTAGTTTTTAATAAAATACCAACACAGTCTTATTGCACGTACAATCAGAGACTGGAACTCTAGTTGCCAAATAGAGTCATTGAAGAGTAGCCAGTAAAACCTTTCAAAATGGCTGTCATGTGCCATGTTTAAAAAAACGCTGACCCCGAAAT